GGACACTCGGTGAATTAGAAACAACGTGAAAGGAAGCAGTCGTTGCTTAATTATACGTAGAATCCTCACAGTTGCATAGAGGGACCGAGTTAGATCACGGAAAGAAAGGAAGGGGAAAAAAGAAAGAAAACTCATATAGTCACCTTAGTCGGCATACCGGCTGGGGTTGGAACCAAATTCCCCCGAATACAGGCCAGTTTGAGAAACCCGAATAGCGCAGTCGGTATGGCGACTGGCTACGGGCTAAACGGCCGAGGGGTCGGGAGTTCGAGTCCCAGTGGGTCACGACTTTTTGCCGATGACAGTGACCACGCGGTCTAAGGCATGAATTTTCTGCGGTCGCTGGAAAGCTCGGATCGTGTGTTCGAATCCCACTCAAGACTTTGATATGTCTTTGCGTTTATTCTGTTTGTGTTTACTGTGTGTAGGTAGCGGCTTTGTGACGAGCTGATCCGTTGTCCAAGGAGCCCTACCGTCTGTATATACGATTAAGAAACTGAAAAAGCGCCAAGGTTCAACAGATGACTAGAGCCAAAGATAGACAGATAGATAGATAGACTACATAAATAGATAGATACGTAGAGAGACAGGCCAGTTTGAGCCAACTTACGCTATGTTCAGAGGCTTCGGTAGAAGTAAATTCGGGTGATATTGTCAGGAACTGCACCCATTGTATGAAGCCGGAGGAAAAAGACTAACTTTAACAGCGAACAGGTAAGCCAACCGTGCATAGCTGCGACTTGATAACGTACCCACTATTCACCCAACACGGCTCCTATTACCTCCAACCACTTTATTTCTGATCATGTTCATTGTTAGGTTACAAGTTACAAGTTCAGAACAATAAAGTGTACTAACAAGGACTATGTGATGTATATGTAACTTTCGGAAACTCGGCAATGATGATATTTTAGCCGTTTTGGGGGTTAATCATTCATAATAGAAATATGTTATATAAACGATCACATATTCGTAGTTATAAATTGTAGCTATCGGAACTCGCTTTGTTGTTGGGCATTTGGGTGTTTTCATTGTGCACTTAACTAAATTCATGGAGCTGGGCCCTTCATGAGAAGCCGCCAGTTGTGAAGCTACCCAAGAACCGCGAGGTTCACTACTGTGTTCAGAACAGCCTTCCACTGGTCCTTATCCTGAGCCAGATCCGTGCAGTCCGTACCACACAATCAGGTCTCTCTTAGATAATGTGATCCACCCACCTACATCTTGGTCTGCCTAGTGGTCTCTTTCATTCCGACCTTCCCACCAATATCCTCCATGCATTCCTCTTCGCCCCCATTCATGCTACGCGCCCTGGCCATCTCATCTTTGTTGACGTATACTTGGCGAAGAGTACAAGTTATGAAGCTCCTCATTATGCAGTTACCTCCAGGCTCCCATCACTTCATCTCTCTTCGGTCCAAATATTCTCTTCAGTTCTCTGTTCTCAAACACCCTCAGTCTGCGTTCCTCTCTTAATGTCAGAGACCACGTTTCACACCCATACAGAACTACAGGCAAAAGTACATTTTTGTATATTCTAATTTCTACGTTTGTAGACAGCAGACGAGAAGGACTGAATGGTAGCAAGCATTACCTGAATTGACTCTCCTCTTAATTTACTACTGAATTAGTTTTTGATTTCTTATAGTCGTTCCCAAATATCTGAACTGTGCCACATTTTCAAAACATCTGTTTCCTACCTTTATATCAGGATTTTGCACTGCATTCTGGTGACGCGACAGCAGGATATACTTATTTTCTCTGCGTTTACTTCTAGACTAACCTTACTAGCGTCAAATTAAGTTTCTGTGTTTTTCTTTGTGGTATTTATGTTATCTCCCAGTAGATTCACATCATCGGCACACACCAACAGCTGATGTGTCCCGTTTAATTTCAGTTCCACGTTGTTTTCCTGGATTCTCCTAATGGCATATTCTAAAGCAAAGTTTAAAATCAGAGACAATAAAACATCTCCTTGTTTTAGACCACTCTGGATGAGAAAATTATCAGACAAATGTTTACCTATACGGACTTTACTCTACATTTCGTTTAAACACATTTTAATCGGCTTAACTAGTTTAATGGGTACCTCAAACTATATGAGAATATTGTAGGATACTTCCTTCGTAACCGAATCATAGGCTTTCTTGAAGTCTACGAATAGCTGATGTACTGTCTCATTGTACTCCAATTTTTTCTTCAGTATCTGACGAATGCAAAAGAAAAATCTGATCAGTAATTGGTTTGTTATTTCGAAACTTGCCCTTATGATCCCCAATAATTTCTTCTATATGTGAACTTAACCTTAAGAGAAGAATATTGGGTAAAGTTTTGTATGAAGCTGATATCGTGATCCCACGATAATCCGTACAGTCAGTTTTGTCGCCCTTCTTATCGACTGGTACATTAATCGACTGCTTCCAGTGATCAGGCAATTCTTATTGCGTATAGAATTAACGAGTGCATGGATCTCAAAGCTTAATGTTTTTCGATTATGCATTTGTGTTAATAAATGTAATTTGGTATTTTCAAATGAACGGTAGATGTATGCACAAACCCTCGAGCCCAGGGCCATACACCCACAGGTACACGCAGGAAGCGTTTGATACATGCATAGTATAGTTCTGAAACATTATTGGTTCATTAATTTGTATGTGGTGGCGTCAGCTAGAGTTTACCTCTCGAAACTAAGCGTTATGTAAACTGCGCCTACTGCTCTTCTATGCCGATATTATTGCAACTATTGGAACGACGTAATCCTGTTAGTATTGACTCAGAGGAGCATGTTTGTGTGTGCTGATAGGTACAGCTTGACGGCAGTCGCAACAGGCCATTTGGAGAGTAGTAACTTCTGGCATGTAACGTCATCTGTTACCGTACTGCATGAGTTCACATATCCCAAGAAATGGTACCTGTCGTAGTCACTGGAATGAGAATCGCAAATTCAGCAAGCCACTCGACTAAATTTGATTGCCACCAGAAATCATTCTGTGGAATTTGAGATGTTTACGACTTCGGTTATGAAAATAAAGTATCCTGGGAAGTTATATTATTAATTTGGTACATATATATGCCAGAGTTGCTTCATATCCCAGAATGCATTAATCATGAGGTATCCGGTTACCTCTTCTGAGGTGTTATAAGTCCAACTATGGAGGAATTACTCATCCCATCCTGTTATGTTAGAACAAATATGGTCAAATGACATGTAATGCTTAATGATTGTCGGATTATCTCCCTCCGCCCACGCTTATGTCTTATATACCTTACTTCCTGCGGGCCTAATCCAGCTCTGTCACACTTTCAGCCTTAAACCGTGACAACATATCCGGATTGCATAAGAAGTTATTTTCTTTGCACTTACGTTATAAATAGACCAATAATTTACTTAGTCATAAGGTTGAAATACCCTTAGTACTTTGTTTGAACATCTTTTGACTCGTATTAACTAAATATTCTTCATTTTCCCTGTGGTAAGGTGGGACACATGAATTAAACTTTTCGTGTTTCACATTGATAAAGGTATATGCCCGTAAAATTTAACTTGGCTGGTATTATGATCGTCAAACTGATTTCCTACCATTCTTACATATTATCATGTAATATGAAGAGATGATCGCCCAGGTAAGAATTTGGAAGATGAGGACCTGATCTATCAGAAGCTACAACTATCCTAGCATTCCTACAAGAAGACTAAATGAGTCATGATTAATCTGTTAGGATAGTTGATGGCCCGGTTAAAATTGAACATGGTATCTCCCGAACAGACAGCGGTCACTTCATCAGCCTGCTTTGTAAAGAACACTTTCTGATTCGGATATAACTTCTGGTCTGCTTCTTTTGATAGAACTTCCTTTGTTCAAGCCAAAGCCTGAACCCTCCGTCTTTTCACCTGAAATGTTACTCGTGGTCTCATTTGCGAGTCCGCCGAGGATTCCAGTAATCAAGTGACTCTGTAACAGACTAATTAAAATCGACTCATACCGATGCATAAGATGGCGGCTGCTTTTGCTCTACACTTCATTTTCACACAATACGTTCTTTTGCTTTAAATCCGTTGGAGTTTCCCATCACCATATATTTCCATCTGTTGATCTTCCTCACGTGTTTGGAATTATCATCGTACGCTGTATATGTGTTACGCGTGCAGCTCTCCTAGGCTGGGCATATGGCCTGCCAGCTAAATCAATTGCCCGCTCGCTCGAGATGTGGGAAGGGTTAATCTTCGTGACACTTCTCATTCGCGTTTATCTGATCCCTGCATGAAATGAACTTAAGAATTAAGCGAACGCTTAATCCATGCTGAATTTTAATTACTTTAAGTTTTTTTTATTTGCTTAACATTCATTAATATTTTGTTTGATCCATTACTGGTTGTGTGATTAAGTTACTTGGACATCTGAGTGTGAAAATAAAGGTTATGCGACGGAGTGCTGTTGTTGTTGTTTTTTTTTGCCAAGATTAATTTATGTTTTCGAATGTGCGACTACAAATTGGATTTTCTATGCAGTGATGATTTAGTGGTCACTTATATTCATAAATTAAATAATTTCCCTGGGGAGTAAAGCGTGGCCGGCACGTAGGGCTGACAACCTTACCGCCATCTTTGAGCCGATTGTCTAGATAATGTGGGACCCTCAACGTCTCACAACCCTATGGGCCTTCACGGCCTGTTACAGGGATAGCTTTACTTTACTTGAATAATGAATGAATGTATGTATGAGGGATAGGCCTTTTTCGGCCCTTGCACCGCGACCTATAGTGGTCTGTTGTGCTTCCCCTTACTTTTATTAAGATGTATAATCAGTTGAGGATACTTAAGAAACTGGAACATCTCAGAAACTGAATTCAAGAGTAGCTGCAACTTTGCAGGAACTGCGCAGATAGTTTAACCTGTATCTTGGTTGGTCATAGCTATTTTAGATATTTGAACTGCATATTTAGTAAAAAATTACTTAATGTTATTAATAAACCACTCAAATAATTGTATGTTGTTTCAGACTTGAAGCGAGAGGCAACCATATGTCACATGTTGAAACACCCCCACATCGTGGAACTGCTAGAAACTTACAGTTCAGAAGGGATGCTGTACATGGTGTTCGAATTGTAAGTTAATTAATCTATTTATTTGTTTATTGATAGTGTGTTTGATAACGCTGTCAGTAGATCAGACTTATAAGGTCGAATGGTGCGATGACCAATGAATACTGAATTTTGAAGGGTGTGAAAGGAATTGAGGAACGCTACCTCAATCAGGGTAGTCGTTCTGATGCTTGAAATTTGAACCAGAGTATGCCCGCCCTTTTCTTACTTCACCTGTTTCCGTCTAGACCTTCTCGAGAATCACTGTTAGGTGCCCTCTCTTCTCTCACCGTTCCGCTTGTTGTGCGATGCGATGCAACTTCCAGCCTCACCTTACCTGTTGCAGCGTCGCTCGTCTTCTCCTTGTTGTAGCACTCTTTAATTTCTCAGGGGTTTTTTTATGCTAGCCAGTAGGTAGGGCAAGGAGTTCTATCCTTAGGATCGCATACAGGACCTTAACTCAGAAGAGCACAGGGAAGCGATCAAATGCACACGTACAACATGATTCTGGTTTATTGTGGCACCATTTCTTTGATAACCGTTCACACTTATCACTACAACACGTACATTAATATGACAGTTAAATGACTCTTGCTTATTCGCAAACTCGCCTGTTAATTTATTTATTTCTTTATTTACTTATACTTGGCTGAATCCTTTGTTTTTAGATTTAGATGATGTAATTTCCGGTCCGTGCACAAAGTAACATGGTAACAGAGTCCTTTGTTTGAATTTGGAAGAACGTAAGTTTACGTCCGTGCACACCAACGAATCGTAACCGACTGACTTTCAAAACCGACGCTCTGGATAGCGTCCCTTTAGTTCCCGCTCTCCTGAATTCAAGAAACATCTTATCTTGCCTTCATTGGTCAATTTAAACTAAGGGAGTTTACATAACTTCCTAGATTTCCAATGGGCTGTCAGCTTTCTCCACACTTAGCCAAATTTGCTCCAACGTCTTTGCTGTCAAAAATG